GCCGAGGCTCCCACATTTTCTAGACAGTCGGCTCACAGATGACGGTAAGGTTGTCAGCCTTACGCGCCGGCCGCCCTTTATTCCCCAGGAAGATTCCTGGTATTCATTTCTGTTAGAGGCTGAATCGACCCCAGGGGCCATAGTGCTGCTGGAAGGATTAGGTCAATTGAAAAAATCCAACTCATCGGTACTCGAACCCGCGACCTTCCTGCTTTTAGCATAGTGCCTCAACCAACTATGCAACCACGTGCCCCCATGATCCATTCAGATGAATTCATTTTACGGTGATGACAACGTAAGATGCATATCAAATATCATATACTCGTATAGAATGCTTTGTATACACGTAATGTAAGTGCACTTCTTTACATAGCTGCGTCGTGGTGGTGCATCTGCTGTCGAAATATGTAGCTCATTAACAGAGCGTGGTGACGATACTCCATGTTGTGCGATCATATATCTCACAGTACATGGAAACGTTTTAAAATCGATATTTTAATATTTACATAGATTTTGATATGAATATCATGATATTCGCTGCCGCCCGAAATTGTGATATGAAGCATTGCAACCAGAGTAAAAAAAAGTGAAGTAAAGTAAAGATAGTGGAGAAAGAAAGTGGAGGCCCATAGGGTTGTGAGATGTTGAGGTTCTAAGAGTGGAGGGCACAAATGCACTCTTTTCAAAGATTACTCCAAATGGGGCTCCCTCAAAAGCATTTGTTGTAAAGTCTTCTATGAAAAGGTTTAAAATATGACTTTGATTTAAATATACGTAGTTACTTTGCTACCAGTTCCTGGTGGTACGAGACAGCGGAATTATCCCTAGGGGTGTAGTTGCTTGTAAATGTCTATCAGTCAGGGACATTCACATTAATTTTTCCAAAGCTATCAAATTATGTTCCCTCTACATCATGTTCCCTGTCCCTAGAAATCGACATAACATGTTTATTCACAGTCAGTCTGAGATTATATTATTAGAGGCTGGTTGAAGTGTCGTAGTTTTACACTGTTCGCCATGTCTAATGCTGTGATCGAGTCTAAAGAGGACTCATCACAACACAGTCAGATGCCTGCATCCTCGTGTTTAGTCTGCTCAGATAGTGCTAGTACAAACCACAAGTCCTCTGAAGAATGCTGTCTTCTGAGATGTGGCGCCGTGTAGATGTTGGATGAACCGACGTTTCGGAGGAACGTATCGCCTCAATCTTCAGGCGATACGTTCCTCCGAAACATCGGTTCACAATATCTACACGGCAGCGCATCCCAGAAGACGGCATTCTTCATAGTCACCGCTGTGAAAACCTCAAATCTTACATAAGTCCTCTGGTTCTAAAAGTCTGTATTCTTCAAATAGAAAAATTATGTGCTGTGAAAGTATTATATTCTTCTTCTTCTTCTGCGGGCGCTGCAGTTTATGACGAACTTCAGCCTCTTTTACGATTGCTCTTCATTGATCCCGATCATGAGAACTTTGTCTCAAATTTCTTATGTCTGTTGTCTTCATAATCTCGCCACCTGATACCACGTCTGCTTACTCGTTTAGTACCCCGTGAATTACATCGTATTTATAGTTAAATTCCTGCAAGGACCGTCTCTGTTGTCTAGTGGTCAGACCTCCTGGCTACAGATCTAGAGGTCCCGTGCACGATTCCCGGCGCTACCAGGTTTTTCTGAGAAGTGGTGGATCTGGAACTGCGTCCACTCAGCCTCTTGAGGATAACTGAGGAACTATTTCAAGGAAATAGCGGCTCCGGTCTAGAAAACCGAAATTAACTTCTGTGGGGATTCGTTGCGCTGACCACACCCTCTATCCGCTAAAGTTGACACTAACTTCGGCGACAAGCGGCGACCGCTCGGTCGGTATAGTTCGCTTGCGGACAAAACCACGGAGTTTGTTTGCTTGTTTGTTTTTGTAAATTCCTGCAAGGGCTCTGCTCCTGCATTATAAAATGGTGTCTCAGCCATCTCAACCGGCTTACTTTGATCGCGTTCATTATATTGTATTAGACTTAAAATATTTATTTTGTTTATAGTTACGTCCTTTATATTTGCTCCTTTATGGCCAGTGAATGTCCAACATATGTTTAGAAGCATTTACAGTATCCTGTAGAGTAACATCGCGCAGTGTCCAATATGGCGTTGACCTGATATAGAATTTGACATCAAGTTTATTAAACTGAACGAACATGAATTCAACAAGAACCTACGTCGCCTCACAGATTTGCTTGCGACCGGCTGTGTGTCGAAGCAAAGGAAACCTACTGTTAAACTTCGAGATTTGAACGCTGGTGAAGGAAAAAAACTGCTTTGTATTTATAGAAGTATCGTGTTCGTAAGGGCAAGTGCCCTCTACATGGGATGCAGGTATCTAGTTGTTTACTGTGGCTTATGCAACGTTACAAATAGATCGCTATTCCAGAGCCAAAGGCGTTACAGCGTGCATCGGAATCATATATGCCGCCCAGACTGTACTATTAAGAGCACGACCAGCAGTCAATCATGTCTCGAAGCAGGTTTCTCTAATCGCGTCGTCAATCGAGTGAAGAATTATCTGTCTTTCAGTGGCATGCTCGTACAGTTTACCGCAGACCCACACTCACTAAAGGCTTATGATTGTAACGCAACTCGACAGTTTTTAACTAAAGAACTCCATGGATTATAGCCATTCTTGTAGGCAAATAATCGCTTAATTAGTGGTCAAATCCCCGAATTTTACATCAGTTTTGGGTATATAGGAGCTGGGATAGCGTAGTCAGTATAGCGACTGGTTACGGGCTGGACAACCGAGGGGCCGGAGTTCGAGTCCTGGTAGGGTCAAGAATTTTCTGTTCTCCACGTCGTTCAGACCGGCTCTGGGATCCACCCGACATCCTATCCAATGGGTACCATGGGCTCTTTCCCCGGAGGTAAAGCGGCAAGAGCATGAAGCAGACCACTCACCTCCAGCTAGTGCCGAGGTCAAGAAAGTGTGGATTTATACATCCACTCCCCCATACGCCTTCATGACGTAGTGCTTAATTAGTTAAACACAGAGACAACTTTACCTTTACCTTTGGGTATTATATAAATGGCGAATTTTGTAAATATTGCAGGCCACCTAGTATTTAAATGGCAGTGAAGTCTAGGAGGCTCTAATGGGCTAGGCGAGACATAAAGAATTCACATGGAATATTAATGGGGATACAACTTGGACAGATTCTGTGTTGAAGACCAAGAAGGAGATGAGAGCATAGCATTAAGGAAATGCTTACGCTGATGAATTAAGATAGGCTGTGTGGATGTGAGTCCGGTCTAGAGGATGAGAGGTGGATAGACTTAACGTAGAATACATACCCTGTCCGGTTATGGGCTGTAGCATTAGCGGTACTGAAATTTCGAGTTGTGTTACTGAGTTATTAGTTATCACTTTCAGCATTCGGAATTACTGGGTTTTTTTAACTTTGTCCATCGTCCGATATTCTAAAAAGTAGAGAACACGGCGTTTCGGAAACTGGATCTTTTTCCGTTCTCAGGTGATTAGGGGGAAGACACCTACTCTGTTGGGTCTCTTAGAAAGAGCTAACTTCAGCTAGACGTGGTATACATAACAGTTATACAGAGTAGGTGTCCCTCCTCACCTGAGGACAGAAATAGATCCAGTTTCCGAAACCCTGTGTTCGATAATTTTTAGAATACCGGACAGTGGGCCCAGAAATTCTGTTATACACCATCGCCAGGGTCCTTTAGAATATACTTTCAACAGTGTGAAAAAATTATGACGGAAAGCGAAATGACCTTCTACCAATATATTGTTGGTTTTGGCAACAGGAAGTGACTGCTGTCATGGAGACGAATACAAGTTTCTTTTGTCCGAGCCGCGTGTTGTTGCATACTAATTCGGCCACAGTTGAACGGGGAAAACCGATCGTCTAGATTCTCTCTATGGTAACGTATGTGTTACAAGCAACGGGAAGCTCCACTGATGAACTTTAATTGTGGTCGAGACTCCTCAATGTGACCACTGAGACCAATACTTATTACTCTGGCATTTAAGGCCTGCCTGTTATTCTGTATACACTGCGACAATAACAATTCGAAGTTACATACTCGAAGATAAGGTCGGATTAAATCAGCGGAATTATTTGTGTCATTCCCTTAAGAATAATATATTTTTTCCGGATTCTAATGTCTGTATCTATAAACTATAGTTTTACCTCTTGGTTTGCATGTGCATCGGTCTTGGTCTCTGGCCCTAAAACAGGAACTCTGTTTGAGATTAAGAGTGTTTAAGCTGAGGAGGACGAGATTATTTGGACCGTGGAAGGGGGAACTGTAGTGGGTCTGGAACTGGGTCCCCTCAGCCTCGTGAAGATAATTGAAGAACTATTTCAAGGAAATAGCGGCTCCGGTCTAGAAACCCGAAATTAACGGCCATGCGGGATTTGTTGCGCTGACCACGCGACACCCTCTATCCGCTAGAGTTGGCACTAACTTCTCCGACAAGCGGCGGTCGCTCTGTCGGTATAGTTCGCTTGCGGACTAAAACCACGGTGCTTTCTTTTAAAAGGGAACTAACGGGAAGCTGGAGGACGTAACGTATGTGAAACCCTGTAATTTTTACTCTTCAGTAGACATCACTAGGCTAAGGACGATCAAGGAAAATGGATTGGTGATGAGAGGAGTACGCATGGAAAGACGAGGAACGCAAAAAATAATTGCAGTGCAGAGAACTTGGGAGATCTAGGCGCAGATGGGAGGATAATAAAATAGATTTTAAATAAATGGATCGCTCAGGATGTGATCCGGTGGTTGGCTTATGTGAACTCGGCGTTGAACCTTTGGTTTCATGGGAAGCATGGAATTTCTTGATCAGTCGAGAGACTGTCGAGTTCTCAAGAAGGACTCTGTTCTGTGGGTTGGTGGGTTGTGTTGTGCATAATTTGCGTCAATCTTCTCTAGGCTAACTGTCCTCCAGGACCTTCTAATTGGCGGCATCCAACTGTGTGTGTTTTGTTGCAGAGTCATCACAGGCGAACGCTGAGTTCGATTCGCACCCAACAGCCCGGCTCCCTGCCAGACTACCAAGTGGACCCATACCGCCTGCTGGAGGACGACCTCAAAGATGTTTATGACGACATTCGAGAGGTGAGGCTCACAATCAGAACAGGAAGAGAACGGAATGCTATCCTACTACGCTCTTAACACAAATGGTGCTGTTGATCAAGATGCAGTGACGCTCCATAGCTCAAGCGGTTAGTCGCTGGCTCCCCATCGTGGCGGCCCGGGTTCGAACCCGGGTCTGGTCAAGTGGGATTTGTGGTGGACAAAGTGACGCTGGGGCAGGTCTTCTCCGAGTACTTCGGTTTCCCCTGCCAATTTTCATTCCACCAATTGCTCCACAATCACCCTCACCTATCATATGGTGCTGGTACAATGGGCCAGAAGTGGCCGCAGTACAAGGGACTTAGTCCCACCCCACTAGCAATAAAAAAATGCAGTGAGATTTTCAAGCCCGCGCTTAGGCGGTAAAGTCGGAAAATCTTCCCTTCATAAAATCGCTTTACCGTCGCGTTGTCTGGGAAACTCGCTGATTTACACAAAGTAGGATTATAATGAAATTAAATGAAAAATAAATTATGGAAATTCTTGTTGTTATTCCGTCCACTTTCTACGATTCTGAATACCCCACTAGGAAGGATGAAATAACTGGGTGGTTTGGATATTATTTTAACAGAAAATTCGTAATTTATACAAACCACATACTACTGCATGGAGCCATATTTTGATTCCTCAGTACTTCTTTGAGTCGGGCATGCGAATAAGATGGGAATTACAAGAAAGGCATAGACAGTTTTGTTGGAGAAACCAACCATAAAACAGCTCTCGGAAGAACGAGTAGCAGATGAGAGGTATACAATATGATTCTAAATTATTTTCGAGGTTCCCGTTTGAAACAGAAAACAATAAAATAGAATTGCTTGCGGAATATGAAAGTGTAAGGGCAGTACTGGTTCCGCAGGCAATAAAGATTTTCAGTTACACGTTCACATTCCGTAAGCAGTTTTATTCTATTATTTCCGGTTTGGAAATTATAGACCATGGAACCCCTACAATAATATAGAATCATCCTGTATTGTGACGATAGGAATTGGAAGAAACTGGCTCAGGATCGTATCCAGTAGGCACGCTTTGATATTAACGTCGTTGAACCTCAGAATTTTGCTGTTGTGGCGTTAATTTAGTTCTACAAGTTGGAATAGAAATCACTTGCACCAAATTTCACGAGAATCCCTGAAGTCAGAACTGAAACATGTACGGACAGATTGCAAGACTGATGAAAACATAGACACGCTAAAGAGTTACTACACTTTACTTAGGCGTCTATTGTAGTACAACTTTTGGTGGGGTAGATTTCCCTTTAAGTGAAATATTGCATGACGGCCATAATTAATACAGATTTCCTTTCCAGTATGATCGAGTATCGCAAAATATGAGCATCTTCATACATAATAAATACATTTAAGACTTGACTGCTGAAATTAAGAGGCGTTTAACCTCATCACATATGCCCACATGTCTGATATGACGTTAATGTTGGCACTGGAGTCACTCATGGCCATCTTTCCCATTACTAGCACTGATGTGGCTGCTTAATAAGGTTGTAGGAATTGCTTCAATTTACCTAGCACGCTGTCGGTTTTGTAAAGGTAAAATATCGCTGTTCGCAACACTTCTCGTGCTAAAGATAAATTGTAAGTTAAGGTAAAGTAAACTTGTCACTGTACTTAAATAATTAAGCACTACGCCATGAAGGCGTATGGAGGAATGGATGTATAGATCCACATTTTCTTAACCTCGACACTATCTGGAAGTGAGTGGTCAGCTTCACGTCCCTGCCGCTTTACCCATGGGGAAAGAGCCCCCGGTACCCATTGGATAGGAGGCTGGGTGGGCCCCAGAGCCGGTCTTGATAATGTGGAGAAGAGAAAACCCCCAGCTTCTTAAGTTGTCGAAAATGTGTGATGAGATACTCGCTTCTATCGCCCCAGTTACTCATCACGCAGGAGACTCAGTGGGCCTCCGTGCTGATGTAAACGTGGGGGAGTGGTAAAAGGTAAAGGTAAAGCTATCCCTTTAACAGGTCGTGGAGGCGCATGGGGTTGTGAGACGTCTATGCTGCCACATTTTCTAGACAGTCGGCTCACAGATGGTGGTGAGGTTGTAAGCCTTACGCACCGGCCGCCCTTTAACCCCAGGAAGATTCCTGGTACTCATTTCTGTTAGATGCTGAGTCGACCTAGTGGGGCTGGAAGGATCAGGTAAATTGAAACGTCCAATGACTTCATCGATAATCGAACCCGCCAACTTCCGGCTTGTAACATAGTACTTCGACCAACTACGAGAAAATCCATATTCCTGCCCGGAATCGAATTCCGATCGTCCAGCCCGCAGTTACAATTATTTTATAGACCGAAGTATTCAGGCTGATAACTCACTGAAATCCTGTAACGTAATTACGAAAACAGACTAATTAAGGATAAGAACCGACAATAGCCACCCTCTACAAATTATACTTCGCACAGCCATTCCCGATGACTACCAATGAAACACCCTCAAAGCTACAGCTAAGAGCACTGTGCAAGATGCCGAACGAGAGAGTTGATTGGAAAGCGTCAGAAATTGATTGGATTTGCTTTTTTAATCTTAAAGTTAGGTATCATGTCCCCGTACTTATAGGTATATGTTTTAACGGAACATTACATAACAATTCAAACAGGAACATAAAAAGAAATGAGTAGATACCCATCCATCTTAGTCTAAGATTCTTAGAACGTGCGTCACTGAGAACAGGTGATCATATTTAAGTTGCTTTTTGCATCGCAGGAGGAAGCCCGGTCAGTCTGTGATCTAACACAAAAAGTAGTGAGTGGGAGCATATCAGTGTGATAATACTGGCAGCCCTTTTTTTTATTGCTAGTGGGGTGGGAGTAAGTCCCTTGCACTGCGGTCACTTCTGGCCTATTGTACCATCCCAAGATGATAGGTGAGGGTGATTGTGGAGCAATTGGTGAAATGAAGATTGACAGGAGAAACCGAAGTACTCGGAGGAAACCTGCCCCAGCGCCATTTTGTCCACCATAAATCCCACTTGACTAGACCCAGGTTCGATCCCGCCGCCGTGGGAAGCCAGCGACTAACCGCGGCCCTGCCAGCCCTTAGCAACGCATTAAACTGTAATGATTTTTGCTTAATGCTCTGGCCAGTCTTGAAGATACAGTTAACTTGTGTGGTTATCTCTCCACAGAAGTTACAGGATATGAACCTGAACTGTGGATATGGCCATCGGATACAAAGCATAGCAGCGAAATTGCCGATGATCAGTTGCGGACTACGGACAAAGGTTTGCCCTTGAGCTTGCGGGCTGGTGTGACCAACAATCCTTCACTGTAATTTTGATTAACAACAGGAATCTTAGGGAAACAGATCGAGGAAACGGGAAGTCGTTTGAATTGACGCAGGACGAGACAACCTAGGCTTCTGCACAGATGACGACAAAACTTTGCTGTTCGTTACAACAGGGAAGTTTTTGATTAGTTAAATTATATTTTGAAACCCTGAAGATTACCCGAGACTATGTGTGCGTGCATGAATTATATTTCTTAAGTAATCTCTTCACCTCACTGTATCCTACTACAGTTCTGTATGCATTCATCATCTCTTTGGTGCCTCTTATCTGCTCCCCCATCGCATCTTCCTTTATCTGAATCCGCATTTCTTACCTCTCCGATCAATGTTACATGCCTCATCCATCTTGTGCTTCTGGATTTCATAACTCTATTAATATATGATAAAGAACGCAAATTATAAAAACCTTCATTATGCATTCTTTCTTTGGCTTCCTGTTGCTTCCTTTTTCTTAGGTCTAAATAGTCTTCTTAACATATTTTCTTCAGACACCCTCAGTCAGTGTTCCTCAAGGCGAGAGATCAACTTTCACACCAATACAAAATAACATGTAAAATTGTAATTCCTTACATTTTAATACCTATGTTTTTATATAGAAGACGCGAAGACAAAATATTCTTAAGTACATGGTGGTGTCCCCAACCCCACTCCCCCGCTTATATTTTCTTTGTGGATTTAATTTGTATTCGCTATTGTCTTTCGCAGATGTTTGAATTTTACCACGTTTTCGAATGGTTCATTAAATGCATCTGTCGTTACGTTATGACTTTTTTCTGCATTCCGGTGACGAGATACGAACATACTCGTCAATAGTGCTTGGCATTGTTCCGTTTGCTTCTAGAGATAACCCGTTATTAGGGTATAATAGAGTTATCTGCTTGTTTATTTATTGTATTCATATTTACGACCAATAAACGTCATCAGCATAGACGAGAAGATAAATATCCCATTCAATTCCAATACGCACTGATTTTCTAGAAGCTTCCTGGCTTAGTTTTCTACAGGAATACTGATGAGCCAATATCGATGGCCCAGCTCCTTGCTTCATGTCATTCCGGAAAGGAAATGGATCAGACAGATATTTACTGTATGAACATTACTACAGCTTTCATTCAAACACCTTGTCGTTAGCGCAGTTAATTTCGTGGATATACCAAGGAAATGAAAAACCTGAAACGTGTAACTAGTCATACTGATTGTCGAAGATACGAGTAGACCTACCGCTATCTATCTGCCTACCTGCCTACCTACCTACCTACATATCTATCATCCATTCATCCATCTATCTATGGCTCTACAGCTCTTGTGAACCTTGGCTACATTTTCAGTTTAGACCTGCCCTTCCCCCATGATAGACACAGTTAGTCTTCAGTACTGTCAAAACGAGGTACCACTGCACCTGATTATCACTTTAACAATGTCACTACCTCAGCCACAACAAACCAAGAAGTGCCGTGGAAACAGTTGATAGGACAGCAGTATAAATGCTCGTTTCACCCGTATGACGAGTAAAATAAAACAGAATTATTTATTTCTGGACACTATTAATCGTCCTGTGTTTGTTTAAAACACAGCCTCTTTGAGACTGGATTTTGTCTCCATCTTCGTATGGAACCTACTCAGATGGGCCAATCGATGGAGCTATTCCCTATCTCCTGACACCAGCATCACCATTGGAT